GACAGAGAGTGACCATTGATGACATAAGTGTATAATGTTGATGACGAATGAGAAATGAAATTTTTTCAAGTGATATAATTCGAATTACCAAACTCGCAATTCACCCTGAGTAAAACATTCTCCGGCTAGATATGATAATTAGAAGGCAAAATTCACTTTCATAGCCAAAACTATTCTCGTTGTGACAAATATATCCAGTTTTTGAAAAATACAATCGTATAGCCATTCCGTCCAAAACTTTTAACGGGAATTTGACGACTGCTGACTGGACTAATGGATGATTGTAACGTGGACGCGGTTCGTCTACGTGGCAGGACAAGTGTAAATTGTATTTTATTTCATTATTAAAAAAAAGGTAAAACCCTAAAACTAACTTTACCAATTAATTGACTACCTTTTACCATTTCACGCAATTTACCCTTCCTCTTCTCTCATTCTTCTCTCGTCAAACAGCTCCCCCATCTCTCCCGATCGACGAATCGATCGAAGACCACACCCCGACGGCCCGACCCACTTCTCCGTCGCTCCAGTGAACGACGTCTCCCCCTATCGCTTCTCCATCTCCGGTGAAGACAGAGGAAACCATGCATCATCCGGTTGGTGAATAGACGACGGCGGCGAACCCTAATCCTTCGTCGCAGTCGTCCTTCGTCGCACCCGTCGCTTGAATCGTCCAACCCAGAATCGCGACGCGAGGTCGGCGAACCCTCATTTTGGATTCGCGTTTGGCTGGTGAGTGAAGACAAGAGTATGGGGTTATAGTGTGAGAATATTATTGCGGGAATGAGGTTGATTAAAGTGCAATTTTTGGTATCTATTTATAGGTATTGGCGATCTGTAAAGCTTGGAGAGCGACACAACAAGTTCGTGAAGGGACTACAGAACTTCTCTTTGTGGCGAGATTGCCCCTGAATTAAACGGTAAGAAGCTCATCACATTGGATACAAAAGTCCATTTGTAGTGACGACAAATGTGCTTTGAAATTGGTTATTTGATTCGCAATTCTTTAGTGGATAGCCTATTGTATGCGATTTGTTTATTGTAAAGCAGAAAGTTGGTTCCACTTAAGGCTAATTAACTATTAATTATGTAATTATATAGTATATAATGACAATAAGGTTGTTATCTTAACATATGGCAGACTTGTGGGATGAATTGGTAGGCGAAAATGACCCAAATTAGATTGGGCATGATGAGGCTTCGCTAGGCATCCACAATGTTGGAGATGCTTCTGTTGCTCCTGATATCTATCATGTTTATGACTCCGGTGATGCAATGACATCAGATGATGAATATCACGAGGCTAGAGCTAACCTACGTGCATATGGTGAAGGGAGGAAAATGAAAGTGATTGCAAGAGTTGCTGCTGGTGGAGAAGAGGTAGACCAGCTTGAGGAATTTGAAGAAGATGACTCTGAAAATGGGGAGGAGGAAGGCCAAGATGATGGTGAGAATTCACACCACTCCATTCCCCTTCAGAATACTGATCCACCTGAAGAACCTCAGCCACCTGAACAACCTCAGCCACCTCGATTTGATGTTAATGGGGAGGGCTCTCAGCATTCGAACTACAGATTGTCAGAAGACTCAGATCATGTAAGGGGCAACTTGTCAAATGAGGAGGATGGTGATTTGTATGATGATGCACCACGGTATGATCCACTCTGCGACAATAAGAAACTTGAGTTTGTATGTAAAATGAAATTCGATGGGGTAGAGCAGTTCAAAGATGGCGTTGCAAGACATTCTGTAGCACATGGTGCATGTCTGAGATGGACTCGGAGCAACCTACGAGGAGAGAGGTGAAGTGTAAAGATGGGAACTGTCCATGGAGGTTGTATGCAAGCTGGTTCAGGAAGGATAAGTGCTTCATGATAAGGAAAGTGGGGCTGCCACACTCATGTGCAAGACGTCTCTCAGTTAACCAAGTCACAGCAATGTGGATAGCCTCATATATGTTAGAGAGATTCAGAATTAACCCAGAGTGGGCTCCGGAACATATTATGGCTGAGGTGAAGTTAAAGCACAACATGGAGGTGAAGAAGAGAACTTGCTACAGAGCTAAAGTAGAGGCTATCAAGATATTAAGTGGGTCGTTGAGTGTTGAGTATAACTTGATTAGGAGATATGTAGCTGAGCTGAAGAAGAGGGATAGGGAAGGTCGTTTCCAGCTGTAAGTTGACCCGCACCCAGATGAGGATAAGTGTTTATTCAAGTGCTTATATGTTGGTTTTCCTCTTTGAAGGATGGGTTCCTTTTGGGCTGTCGTCCTATGTTTGGTCTGGATGGCTGTTTTCTTAAAGGGGAGGTAAAAGGTATGCTTCTCAAAGCTGGGTAAAGATGGAAACAACTAGATGTTCCCAATTGCCTGGGCGGTTGTGGAAGGAGAAAATACCAACTCTTGGACATGGTTCGTGGAAATTCTAACTGAAGAACTTGGTTTAATTGATGGTAGAGGATGGACTGTTATATCGGACCAACATAAGGTATAGTAATCTTTCATGTGTTTTTACTTTGAACTAGTTTTTTACCCTGCCAGTTGGCCGGAGAAGTTCATTTTATTATTTATATTAATTCACTTATCTACATGTTTGAACTTTTTGGATCTTGTAGACATTTTCTGCTCTCGCTTCATAAGTGCATATGTGGTATGCCTATACCGAAAATTCTTAATATTTAATAGTTAGCACACTCGCTTGTGATGTTTTTATTCTCTAATAATAAATCATGTCGTAAAGGTTTATCACGTCCCATTTAGGATTGTATATAAAAAAATTTCCACCAAGACGCTCAAATTTATTATCTTATACAACATATATCAATTCATCATTCTCGAGTTTGTATGAAATCTCAGCCAATTAATCAGAGTTCAAATTATTGGAAAAAGATGCTTGATTACTGGATAAATTATTTTTATCCCAATTGAAATTTGACATACATCGTATCCCTTATAATGATTAAATTCTCTAAACCTCACTCATTTTTATTGTTGATGTTCATGAAGTCTTTCTATAGCAACTCATGACAATTTTTACAAATTATTATTATCTTACAATATGGGTTAATTGCAAGTTTGGTCACTGAGTTTATTAAAAAGGTTCATGTTTGGTCATTAAAAATATTTAATTCCATTCGTGGTCACTAAGATTAATTAAACATTTCAGATTTGGTCACTCTCCGTCCAACTCCGTTAACTTTATATGATGTGGCAGTCAACTTTTAAAGTTGACAATTAACTGAGTGACGTGGCAATTAAAAAATAATAAATAAAATAAATTTTAATATTACAAAATTCCAACTCATTTTTACATAAAATAAATAAAACAAAAAATTATTTTAATTACAAGATCTCCATTTTATATGTTTATTGTTCTTCCCGTAACCTAAAAGCCCACTCACCCCATCAAAAAAAAAAAAACCCCCCACTCACAGTCACAGAGAAGATGTGGTCCCCCATCTCTCACCGTCCCAATCCAGCTACCATGGCGGCAGGACTCTCCTACTCTGCCGCCGCCGTAGTTTGCAAATCTCTATGCCAGTTCCACGACGCAGCTCGCCCATAGTCCCCTTCCCTCCCTCGACAAATACTCCCGCGATACCAAGATCTCCAGATATGCACCATTGGAGAACTCAGAATCGAAATCTCTGCCCGTCTGTTCTTCAAGTCTCTGCTGCGCCTGAGTGCACAGTCTCTCCAACAGAATCCTCGCACGCTCAGCCGCGCTCCAGCCATTGACGCTCGGCTTCTTGCTTTCCATGACCTCCTTCACAAAACAAGTCTTCGTTCTCGACCTGCTTCAAGCTTGATTGCCCTGAGAGAAACTGAAAACAGAAAGAAAAGGAAGGAAACAACCATTTCGTAATCGAAAAAGCTTCTCCGTAACCCTAATCGAAACAATATTTTTCCAATCGTGAAGTTTTATCGGGAACCAAACTGGGATTTACCAGGGAGTAACGTTGAAGGAGACTACGAAGCCCTAACATACTCACCGCCGTCGAACGTTTTCCTCTGTACTACCCATACGAATTGCTGGAGAAAGTCTCCGATTCCGACCCCGTCATGGCCAGACGGCCCAGACCTGGGAGCGCCGGCGTGAAGAAAAGCTTCGATTCCGACCCGGCTTCCCAGCGCGTACTTTCAATTTGATAATAATTATAATAACTTTTTATGTTTTATTTATTTTATTATATAATGAAAATGAGCTGGAATTATAAAATATTAAATTTCAATTTATTTATTATTTTTTAATTGCCACGTCACTCAGTTAACGGTCAACTTTGATAGTTGACTGCCACGTCAGACAAAATTAACGGAGTTGGACGGAGAGTGACCAAATTTGAAATGTTTAACTAATTTTAGGGATCACGAATGAAATTAAATATTTTTAGTGACCAAACATGAACCTTATTAATAAACTTAGTGACCAAACTTGCAATTAACCCCTTACAATATATATCAATTGCTAATGTTTTAAGTTTGGACTAACCCTCAACCCATGTCTTTTGTCTAGATGTTCGTTTAGAATCTGAATCCAAGACATTCATATACACTATCAAAGGTTCTCATCTTAACATGTTCTTTCAATGTATAACTAGTACGAAATGCCCGCGCTGCGCAGCGGGACTCAAAATTGTTGGGATAATTATTTAATCGGTAATCGGTCAATCAATGTTGAGAACGATAACATTAGCAAAATTACATAAGAGATTATGCCTACATTAACAACTTTTGAATGCTGAAGGCAATTGTGTATCGTACGCGATTATTTTTCTAATGAGAGCGGCAAGTTACTGCAATGCTATAATCTAAATTGTGAATAGACTAATATCAATTGAGAGAGAAAAGGAGATCAAAACTTAATACAACCCAAATTGGTGGAAACCCGAACATAGAGGAACGAAGAAGTCAATTAGATTATTGAACTAACCAAATGGCGAAAAATAGTTGAACAAAGACATAGCCTATACAAAAAATCTCAAAAGAAATCAAACCAAACAACGCAGAAAGCACACAGAAAAACCAAACACGATCGTGGTCATGCTAACAAATCTGGTCTAAGATATTTTGTGATGAAACTGTTGCTGCAAGCCGTTCTATAATCGCGCAACCTGAAAAATAACATGCCATAAGGCACACAATCAATTGGCATGAGAGAAAGTACTAAGAGATGGACGAATATGCAGGTCAGAACATAAAAGGAATGATAAATGGTGTGAAGTAAGGCGACACCAGCACATAAGACAAAATCCCAAACCCTTAAAAGTTGTTAATATATGCCATTAAGAAATGGCTTCAATCCAACATGCTTTTCTCTGCTAACCATGACACTTACAATTAAGTTTGTTTTGTTGCAAAGCAACTAACCAAGCTGATATCATCTAAAGGGCAGCGTGACATTTTGTTTGCCTCCAACAAAGCAAACAGGTAGTTGGAAAAACATGTCATACAGTTCAAGAGATGGATGGCTATATCAACCACCAAGGAACTTACTATACCTAGCGAACACCAACAAATAGGAGACAAAATACAACATACAAAGGACAGTACAAACTTACATCTGAGGTATCGCAGCATGCTGTTGCTAACAAATCATGAACTTAAATCATATTTACCAGAATGATGTGTAAGTTGAAATCGTTGAAGGTCAACAATATAGTATGTAAAAGAGCCTTGCAAGTCCCATGGAGCAGGCTGCGAAAGGGGAGTGAGATCGGTGAATTAGAAAGAATCACCTATCTAACTGAGATTCCGAAAAGACACACCAGCAGAGTCCAAGGTAAAGGAAAGGAAAATGAATCATTTTGAAAACATAGTATTGTCAGGCCACCTCTATAAATCATAAGGAACATGAAAACAATAAATTGAATACAATTGAACATATGAATCATTTACCAAGTCCACACCTTTTCAGGATTTTATAGCAGGCAATCAGCCACTTACCATTGATCAAACTTAACTTATTATCTAGCAGATATAGTAGATTTTTTTCTTCATATGGTAGCTTGATCATTCAAATCATTTCACATCATGAAAACATAAACATATTCTATTATGATAAGAATATGACAACCACAAAGTCTACATGAGATGACAGTAGAGAAAGTTATAAACTGGTCAATTTAAAAAATAGAGAAAGTAAAGAAAGGTGCGTTCAAGTTAGCAAATCCATGACAACAGTGGTGCCAGAATTCTATATATTTTAGTTTTACTAATATAAGGATTCAGATGAGAAAGGCATCATGGAAAGGAAGTTGGAAGGCAAATTGAGCAAAGACTTCCTGGAAGACACCCTAACCTGCTCACTTGCTCGTAGTCGAAATCTAGCGCTGATGATTCCACAATGCAATTAACGGACCTGGCACCCTGCTCCAACTGTATCCCTGACCCCAAACATAACACATAAGACGTCTCAAAACTGGGTTTGTAGGACCAGAAGTTTGAGACCGAGCTGGTTTAATATGATGAAGCAAGAGAAGATGCAGAGGTCTTGCCCTGACCACATAGGCAATGGGAGGTTGTTAGATAAATGATAACAAAGCGTATAAATTAAAGCATAAGCAAGCAAGCAGGGACCACGAAAGCTGATCTCCATGAGAAGAAAGCTAACCATGAAGCGACACGAATCAACAACAGAGAAGAGAAGCCACTGCACAAAGAAAGTAGAGTAAGAATGAGAAGCTATGAGCAAAATGAAGAAGTTCACAGAGCATACTGAACACATTATGGGATTCACTGGACATTGTGATTAGCTTCAACCATTATCTTAAGTTCGCAAAAACTTACATTGAGAGAAACATAACTCAATCCTAGGAACAATAATTGAAGGTAATACCGGGAACTAACTGATAAACCTCTCTCCATAAGCTCGTCTAAATTGGTGTTCTACTGAGGATGACATTTGAGATCCAAACATACTGACACGAGCAATGACAATATTTTGTATGTCCAGGTTTAAGGAAGGAATGCATAGAAAGCAGGGAAATGATCAGGAAGGAGATGGAGACATGGACTAAATGGAATTCGCTATAGGTAAACAGAGACCAGGCTTTAACATTACCTTTACTTCCTCATCTTAGAACAACAATATTTAGCTCTCGTCCTCTCGACTGCATCTGCAGGTCATTCCCTATTGGTACTGCAAAAGACTGCGAAAAAGGAAAAACAAAGAACCGAGACCACATTAGGAAACAAAAAATGTAAAAGGAATAAAAGTAGAAGTTAAAGAAGGAATGAACCTCAAGTAATCATAGTGATATTCCACTTGAGGTAAAAAAAATTCTACTGTGGAGGGGATCTTCAGCCCAACACACTTGAAAACCAATTTAATCAGAATGAAATTGGTTTTGAAACACCAATCTGTTTTTTTACATGTAGAAAAAAAGGGGTGGATGACTTCCACTCAACACAGTAAAACCAAAGAAGGCTGTTTGGAAAATCAGGACATCCTTTGTTCTAAAAAAGGATACAAAACCACCAATGAAGCTTCAGGAAAAAGTGAACAAACCAATTTGAGAAAGGAGCCAACAAATCAATCAGATAATCATATAAGAAGTTAAGAACCAACACACAGTATCCTCTAATATCTCTACAAACTGTTGTGAATCGAGGCCAATGCTGTATAAACAACCAGAGATAGCTAAACCACCAACTGTAATCAAGCTCAGTATACAGACAAATAAGGATCCTTCAATAGAAAAGAGATGGTAAACAAACCCAAACACACAAAAATTTGAGAATGAAGGTTAAGAATGAAATTTCAGCAGGCGTTCAACAATGTCATCTGATGAGTGCAATCTATAATACTGCACATGCTGTATTTCCTACGGGAAGGATTAAACAAACTCTCCCGTGCAAGAGAGCATAATTTTAAGACAGAAAATGAAGATCATCATCTACCTCTCGATTCAGCCTCTAAGCGAATTGTAGATCCCATCATTCGAAACCAGTGATTTTCATGTTAAGGCGTGGATCTACTTGTAATCCCGTGTACCTTCACTAATTGTATATGGGCACCACCTAATAGCTCACAAACAAATTTGATCCAAGACAATATATATAAAGGCTCAGAGAAGGGTGCAAAGGAACTCCCTTAAAAAAGTGAGTTTCAAGGCCAGAAGCGGAAAGAAGTGCAATTTAAAAGTGAGAATACGCTTCATTCGACATCACAAAGACATGTATTAAGAATTAAGAACGACCGAGAATGGTGTAAATAGACTTGAATAATAATGTATGATACACATAAACCATCGAGTGAAAAAAACCTCAATATATTAGAGAAAGAAACTATGGTCGTGGGTACCTGTAAATGCCGCCAACATTTGAGGAAGAAAACATAAAACCGTAGATTGAAAGGTGACATAATATTACCCCATTCAAACTTAAATCTGATCACAGCAACAGAAATCTCAACAGTGGTTGCGTCCTGCGCACAGAAGAGGAGCCACGGGGAAATCTATTGAAATCAAAGGTCAACACTGTGAAAAGGAAAGCAGAGGTCTGATTAAATTACCACATAGTAGAGCACTCTTCGATCTGGAGGTCTGAAAAGGAACTCCGAAATTATGGGTACAATCTGGAGGTAAGTATGCAGAGCAACTGCAGCGAAAAGGTGCAGAATTATGGTCTAAGATAAAATGTATCTCGTTAGGTGGTTTTCCTACTATACAGAGTCAATAGTCAAGGAAGAAAATCCCAGCGAAAAGATGAACAGGCATGAGCATGAGATATCAACAAAGTTGAGACTATAGGCATCAGGACAGGTCAAAGCCAATCCGAATACAGATTAGAACCGATAGTCAGAGTAGCCACACATTTTGAGTTGCATGTATGAAATTCTCAAAAAGGTCACAGGATTGTGCATGAACATGTTACTGGGTGTCCCTGCCTCTACAAAGTGACACGAACCGCCACGAAAGAAAACCCCATCAAACTAATAATATTTCATAGAATCTCTGAACTTTCTGATAAGAAACCAGCAAGCAATCTCAATTGAACGGAAGAGCACCCTTTTCGTTGAAAGCATAAGCAAGTTCCTTAACACCGTAGATCCACAACCTGTCATTCGAGTGCTTGATGGATGGGATCCCACGACAGCTATCAACCATTTCCATATCATCTTAAAAGATGGAAACTCGCTATTTGCGTTTCCCCTAACACATCTCACGCAACATGGACTCATTCAGTAGGGAAATCAAATTCAACAGCTTGTAGATACTAAAAGATGGAAACTCGCTATTTGCTGGGAAGATGGACTAATTCAGTAGGAAAATCAAAGTCAACAACTCGCGACTCGTTATTTGCGTTTCCCCTAACACATCTAACACAACATGGGTGCACGGAAACAAACACGAGAGTAAAAGATAAATGATTTAACTCAACATACAACAAAGAAAGAGCACTAAACCCAATAAAAAACGTCAAGACACAAAAAAAACCCTGATAGATAGATAGGTCCAGATACTAAAAAGGCTCATATGGGTGAGAGTTATTCATCCTTGCAATGAGAAGAGCAGGAACTGACCATATATTTCCACTGTTCAGGCAGCTGCAATTAAAGAATAAGATGAAAGAGTGGAAACAGAGAATATATGTATTTATTTATTTGCGTAAGTCTCTATGTCCTTTGCTTTGATGTCTTGTCTGTAAGTAAGCGCCTTGCAGTCTCTTACCCTCCCTTGTAATTCAACCGATATCCTTCCCACTCGATGTGGATCAAATACTTGATAATTTTTAATGTATCCTGTAAAAGTTCAAATATATGAGTTGAAGAGACTCAAACATAGCAAACAAAAGACCCCACTTTGAGCTTTCAAGGAGGAGATAGAAGAGTGCACAAAACCCGCTACTAAAGATACGATAGGCAGAGAGAAGTTGATCATCCTTTAGAACTCTTCCACGGCATATAAGACGTTGTTGTTCAGATAAGACACCGGTAACAGAGGCAATTTGCTCTTTCAGAGCCGGAACTGGCATCTGCAATATAGGCAACAAATAAGTATAAGATCATAACCTTATCATGCATAGGTCATAATTACAAACTTGTCCAAGTTAACATTCATACAGAATCCGATAATGTATGGATAAACTGATGAAGGTGAACAACTCTAGTTACTTCCATGGGCTGATCTTATCTCCAGCGCTTTAGAGGTTCCAACAGGGATTTGTCATGCAAACAGACTAAGATAGCACCTTGCTCATGGTTTTAAAATTCGGTCTGACATACATTATGGTAACTAAATCTATAAAGTGCAGATCGCTGAAGCAGCATTCAAGTGCGCCATCCATCTATACAGACAAAACAGTTATTTCTAACGCACCGTAACGGATTTTAACCCGCCAGCAAACCAAAAACCAGTTATGTAACGGCCACATTAACATAATGTTGGTACAATTCCACAAAGATAACAAGATCTGCATTGGAAACTAAAGCACCCGTGTACATGCCATAATCAAAACATGCCACGAAAACAAAGGAGCTCAAGAGAGTCACCTGCTTGTCCACTTTCAAAGTGTAGGTTTGAGAGTCCAGTGTTTTTATCTTTATCTCAATCGTTGGTTCGGAAACATGACCCGGAATCGCTTCAGCAGCACTTCCCATTCTACTCCACAAAGCCAAACACGATATCTAGCAAGCACGGAAGAATAGTACAAAACATTGAGCTCTTAATTCCTTCAAACCAACACCTTCATTACAGAACATCTCGAGACAAGAGTTCCTACAAACGCAATCCTGATCTAGGAACACAAAATTCACAGCCAAAGAAGCGAACAATCAAATTCGAAAGAAGTAAAAAGCAAGCGACTTTGAGAGGCTTTGCAGCCATAGGGTTTATCAAAGACACGAACTTTAACCAGAAAAACTTCGCTGTGACAAACTTTAGGGTTCACGGCTAAGCATCCCAAGAAAAAAGCTGCGGCATTTGAAGCCCTACTACTACCCTTCCCAATCATGGAAAAGGGAGAGGAAACGTTGCCCCATGAACCGAATAGGGAAAAAGCTTCGAAATTTACAGTCCATAAGGCGCAATTCAGTGATCAAACAAAGAGAGACGGCGAAATTACAAGCTATAACCAAAGGGCAGGGGATCAAGAGAGTTAGGGAAGATGATTGAATCGAATTGGAGGATACTTACGATATGGCAGAAGCAACGGGAGAGAGAGAGATAGAGGGAGGAAGAGGATCGATGGGCAAACTGAATCACCAAATATCCAGTAAATTTAAAAATAACCCACAAATTTTGTCTGCCTGGGCAGCCAACTATGTCGCAGCTGTCGTCTGGGTCAGGACTGGCGATGCCGACTTCTTCTTCCTCGTCCTATGCCTGAAATGAAAAAAAAAATCAACAGAACCAGATGAGAGAAAGGCCACCCCAAAATGCAAACAAAACCAAAACCCAAAAAGAAGGAACTTACCTAGAGAGCAGCGATTAGTTCTCGTCGCCTCAGCTGCCTTTAGAAATCTCCTCCGGCGACAGCTCTTCCCTAGTCGAAAACTCAAAACAAAAAAGGCAGATTTGTAGGAAATCATTGAAAGAAAAAGCCAAACACACCAACAACGAAAAGGAAAATAAATCCACAAAAAACCCCACTTACACGTCCGTTGATAAATGGCAATCGCTGGCAAAGCTCAGTCTTCGGGCGTGAAATCGCCGACAAAGTTCCCGTTGGAGATCTCACTTCCTTCCCCTCCGTTGATGGCCCTTTGGAGGCGATAGGCCATGGTTCTTCCTTGTATTTGTCCCCTTCCCTCGTCATCGTTCAGTAGAGCCAGCGACAACCCTCCATCCGCACCAGGCAGCATCATGAAGGTGAACAACTCTAGTTACTTCCATGGGCTGATCTTATCTCCAGCGCTTTAGAGGTTCCAACAGGGATTTGTCATGCAAACAGACTAAGATAGCACCTTGCTCATGGTTTTAAAATTCGGTCTGACATACATTATGGTAACTAAATCTATAAAGTGCAGATCGCTGAAGCAGCATTCAAGTGCGCCATCCATTTATACAGACAAAACAGTTATTTCTAACGCACCGTAACGGATTTTAACCCGCCAGCAAACCAAAAACCAGTTATGTAACGGCCACATTAACATAATGTTGGTACAATTCCACAAAGATAACAAGATCTGCATTGGAAACTAAAGCACCCGTGTACATGCCATAATCAAAACATGCCACGAAAACAAAGGAGCTCAAGAGAGTCACCTGCTTGTCCACTTTCAAAGTGTAGGTTTGAGAGTCCAGTGTTTTTATCTTTATCTCAATCGTTGGTTCGGAAACATGACCCGGAATCGCTTCAGCAGCACTTCCCATTCTACTCCACAAAGCCAAACACGATATCTAGCAAGCACGGAAGAATAGTACAAAACATTGAGCTCTTAATTCCTTCAAACCAACACCTTCATTACAGAACATCTCGAGACAAGAGTTCCTACAAACGCAATCCTGATCTAGGAACACAAAATTCACAGCCAAAGAAGCGAACAATCAAATTCGAAAGAAGTAAAAAGCAAGCGACTTTGAGAGGCTTTGCAGCCATAGGGTTTATCAAAGACACGAACTTTAACCGGAAAAACTTCGCTGTGACAAACTTTAGGGTTCACGGCTAAGCATCCCAAGAAAAAAGCTGCGGCATTTGAAGCCCTACTACTACCCTTCCCAATCATGGAAAAGGGAGAGGAAACGTTGCCCCATGAACCGAATAGGGAAAAAGCTTCGAAATTTACAGTCCATAAGGCGCAATTCAGTGATCAAACAAAGAGAGACGGCGAAATTACAAGCTATAACCAAAGGGCAGGGGATCAAGAGAGTTAGGGAAGATGATTGAATCGAATTGGAGGATACTTACGATATGGCAGAAGCAACGGGAGAGAGAGAGATAGAGGGAGGAAGAGGATCGATGGGCAAACTGAATCACCAAATATCCAGTAAATTTAAAAATAACCCACAAATTTTGTCTGCCTGGGCAGCCAACTATGTCGCAGCTGTCGTCTGGGTCAGGACTGGCGATGCCGACTTCTTCTTCCTCGTCCTATGCCTGAAATGAAAAAAAAATCAACAGAACCAGATGAGAGAAAGGCCACCCCAAAATGCAAACAAAACCAAAACCCAAAAAGAAGGAACTTACCTAGAGAGCAGCGATTAGTTCTCGTCGCCTCAGCTGCCTTTAGAAATCTCCTCCGGCGACAGCTCTTCCCTAGTCGAAAACTCAAAACAAAAAAGGCAGATTTGTAGGAAATCATTGAAAGAAAAAGCCAAATACACCAACAACGAAAAGGAAAATAAATCCACAAAAAACCCCACTTACACGTCCGTTGATAAATGGCAATCGCTGGCAAAGCTCAGTCTTCGGGCGTGAAATCGCCGACAAAGTTCCCGTTGGAGATCTCACTTCCTTCCCCTCCGTTGATGGCCCTTTGGCGGCGATAGGCCATGGTTCTTCCTTGTATTTGTCCCCTTCCCTCGTCATCGTTCAGTAGAGCCAGCGACAACCCTCCATCCGCACCAGGCAGCATCATCGATCCCGTCGACGCCATTTTCTTCGGTAATTTCCTTCTTCGTCCATCTCCGCAAACAACACCAAAAACAAGAATCAGAAGCAAAAACCCAGGAAAACCTAGAAGAAAGGAACCGACTTTATCACAAAAACAAGAATCAGAAGCAAAAACAGAAAGCAGGAAGAACTCCAAGAACGATATTGAACAAAAACCCAGAAAAATCTAGAAGAAAGGAACCGACTCTATCTTGATGGATAATCTGTGAGTTCCGGTTGGTGCTCTATTTCGCCGGATTCTTCTGTGATCTCCTCCATGTTCTGCTTCACCCATGTCTCGATCTTCCTTTTCTTCTTCTTCACCTTGCTTCTTCTTCATCGTTCAGCACAAAAGAGAGAAGGAGAGAGAAAGCAGATCTAGAAAGATGGAGAGGAATGGGGGATTAGACATGAGGAAGAAAGAAGGATAAGTAATAAAAAGTCTCCCTTTGGTCAGAAAAAGCAAAACAAGTAAAGTCAATTGAGAAATGATGAGAACAAGTAAAAAGCTAAAAAGTAACAGTGACGGGATGTGACTCTACCAAACAGTAAAGTTGTAACTTGTTCTTTTAAAGAGATAATTTTTCAACTATTTGAATGTCCATTCGCTGAAATTTCTTTATATTTGGTGTTTGTTCTAATACAAAAATTTCATTACTTATATTAATAATTGGTAAAGTGTGTATACGACAGACAAATATTTTAGGTGCATTCAAAATTATGGGCTAAATTACACGTTTGGTCACTCAAATTACATAAAACTTTCATATTTGCCACCCGAATTATTTTTCTTTCTTATTCGCCACTAACTTTACGATTCGTTTCACCGTTAGTAATCGGCCGTTAGTCTCCGTTAACTCCGTTAATTTTTTGATGATGTGGTAAACAGAACTGCTGACTGGACCGTTAACTTACTAATAAATAAATAATTGACCACAGACTAACCACTGCTAGCAAACTCCTCCCCTGCATCGCCGCCGCCGCCAGCCGCTCTGAAAAGCCAAGAGCTTTATCATCATCCTCCGGTCCCTCCAACACACTACTGGCACTCACCGCCACGTTCCCCTCTCCCCGCCGCCTAAATAGCATGTTCAAATCTATTCCAATCCCACGGTTTATGCAGGACAGATTCGTTTCTGATTCGAGAGCCCGAGCTCCTCAGCCGCTCTCGCTTTCCCTCGCTTCCGCTTCTTCGAGTACCTCCGTTTGAGGTGAGATAGTCCGTCTTCTTCAACAAATGACCTAGCGATTATGATTCTGGTATTGCTAGATAGATTTTTCTCTGCAGATTGTGATTTGATTGTTGTGAGCATCTATTCTATATGTCGTCAAGGGGGAAGAGCAACCGGATAGGACCGGAGACAATGGAGAAGACTAGCAATCGCAAGAACCGGCTGACGATGTCGTTTCACGGTGGGAAATAGCGGGCAGATTTGATCCCTGCTGATAACGCGACGAATTGACGGTCGGAGATTGATCGCTGTTGTCATCCGGCAGTACAACAAGAGGCCGTAGTTTCTCCCGTCAGAGGCGGCGGAGGAGCAGAGGAAGCAATGATTCGCTCTGCTCTCTCCCTCTGTTTCCGCCGCGCACTATTCTTTCTTCTTTCAACCTTCTCGGGGATAAGCGAAACAGAATCGGTGAGCTGATAATGGCGAGAGATTTTTTTCCAAGAGGCGATGGGGTATTTCACTCGCATCGCCAGAGGAAGGATGCTGAGTAAAAACCTCGCGAGCTGATAACGCGGCGAGATTCTTTTTTTTTCCCCGGGAGGCGATGGGGTATTTTACCTTTGTTGCGGAGGCGGAGAAGGCCACAGCGGACGCAGCTCGCGAGTGCAGGGCGAGAGGATGAGTCTGTGGTAGTTAATTAATTATTTTTAATTTTCAATTTTTTTTTTAATTTTTTAAATTGACATGTCATTAAGTTAACGGTCTAGTCAGCAGTTCTGTTTGCCACATCATCAAAACACTAACGGAGACTAAGGCCGGTGACTAACGGTGAAACGAATCGTAAAGTCAGTGGCGAATAAGAAAGAAAAGTAATTCGAGTGGCAAATGTGAAAGATTTATGTAATTTGAGTGACCAAACGTGTAATTTAGCCCAAAATTATGTATTCCTTGAATAATTAACTTATAATTTTTTAACAAAATATTTTGTAGCAAAATTTAAAAGTTCATACAAACATTGTGGCTTTTCACATGTATTTAAATTATCGGATGTACTGTAGACACATCTATTGTTAATATCTAAACATATATATAAGGAGAGTTTATTTTACTTTCAACACTAATTAATACCTTTGAACTCAACTCCTTGGGTGGAATATGATATGCCAAAATTTTGTATGAAATCACAGACTCATAACTATATAGCTCGGTTTACACTATTGTAACTATAAATGTTTTTTTGTTATATATGTGAAGTAAAACATTAATGTCTATTTATTACCTCAATCGTCGAATTTGGATTTTTCTTAGCATGAAATGTGATGTTTAACGTACATCCTTAACAAAGATTTCTCTAAATTTCACACATTTCATTTTTCAAGGGATCTCGTGTCTCATCCTAGAATATGAAGTCAAAGTTCATCAAATATTATACTCAAGTCATTTTGGAAACTTCAATTTATAATCTTTAACAATAAATAACTCCAAGTCTGAAAATAAAATTTCTTAGCATATGATGTAAGACATCAATAGAGCTTTGCTTAATCAACATGACCTAGAGAAAATATTAGTAATGTGAACTTAGAATACATTATAAATACTGCACATGCGATTCATATGTTTTCACTTGATGAGAATGAATAAGAAGCTTTTTTAATAAATAACTATTATTTCTTGGTCAAGTTTTTTCAGACCTTACCGACAAAATATTATTATTTTTGTGTGTTTGTTTAAGTTATTCATTAAAATATAAATTATTTTTAAGTTTTAGTAAAAATGAGCAGAAATTTACATAGTAATCTTTAGTCATATAATTTTTGGTTTAAAAAGGGTGATATATATGTCACTTTACGAACATTAGTATACTGTTGCGTACATTGATATCATGCAAAAACAAAAAAATGTTATATATGTCACTCTCCATCATGATTGTCACGTCGGTCGGCATGCCATCGGTTGAACCATTCAACCGGTACCGGTCATGAAATCGACATGACACCATCGGTATGATCGGTATGATCTTTTTACGAATTTCTAAGTAAAATACGTAGTTTTAGTGAATTTAAGTATGAGTACATGTAATTTTATTTGAAATATCATATTTTATTCAAATATATATATGAATTGTACGTAAATTGTCTTCCAATATGGTTTATATAAGATTAAATTCATTTGATATTATTGATTTTTGATATTTTTACATATTTTATTAAGTGGCATGAACCGACACAAACCGGTTGTACCACTGGTAAAACCATTACACTTGCTAAACCGGTTTGATAATATTTCTCTCCATAAATTATTTATAGATATAATGCAAAAACAAAAGAAAAATAATTATTGGATAAAAGAGAATTAAATATTAAATGAAGAGAGAGGAAAAACTCCATAAATAGGTCAATAACTATTTTTTTGTTAAAAAAATTGTCCACCTTGGCAACTTGAGATCTCTCCAAGTGCTTATGTGGCAAAAATTTAATTTTGAATTGCCATAATATTATGTATAGATAGATAGATAGATAGATAGATGTTTCTCATGGTTTGTATACTAATCCAATTTCACTCCACTAGGGTCTAGTTGATGCGCTCCACTCAATACTACCTGAAGCGGAGCATCGAAAATGTGCTAGGCATGTGTATGCCAACTGGAAAGCCAAGAACAAGACTGACATGATTCGAAAATTGTTCTGGAAGGCAGTGTATGCATGCAACGAATCTGATTGGAAGAAGGCTACGCAAGAGATGGAGAGTTGATGCGATATTGACTAGCATGATATTTAATTCTCGTGGTCCAAAAATAAAGATTCGAATTCGACGATTTAAGGAACAATTACGAGCATGCTTAAAGGATAAAATACAGATCACAATGGTAGCTACTGTCGGTTATCATGGTAGCTACTGTCGGTTATCATGGATTCTAGTGTGATGTGTCATTCATGGAAGAATTGGCGACGTGATTAATCACTTCTCAAGGATTAATGCGTTTGGTTGGTGGGAAGCTGGCTTGGAAGTTTGCTTAGATGATTTAATTAATTCACTTAGTTGATGATTGGATTAATGCATGGCATTTAGCAATTAACAAGAAGCTTACACGTTCAGCAATTGCAGGAAGGGTCCGGTTAGTATAACAACACCTTAAATGTTGTTATACTAACAACAGAATTCATTAAGGGTATAAGGGTAAATATACTCATATATATAATA